AACTAGCAGTATGCTAGTAAATCCATAAGGTTGGGTTTTATATCTTTCTTTTAAATGCATATGGATCGTGGCATATTTGCAGCTGTCTGAATAGGTTCTTGTTCGGCCCTGCGTAGTGATGCGGTTTTGCATCCATGCACAACAGGTACTCAAATACCATGGAGCCATGCCCTTCTTAAATGGTCCCCTAGGCACCTAGAAGCAATGGGACGGTGCTGACACCGCTTCAATCCGGTGTCGAAAACCAAAAAGGAGTATTGATGACACTTGTTATTGTTATGGTACCCTTCCGTAAATTTAGTTTTGTTTTCAAATTTCTAGCCACTTGTGTTCTTGTGCTGTTACGAATATTCTTTGTCGTTGCGTTCGGTAAAAAATTTGTTTTTAGTTTCTTGTTTGTTACTCTAAGTCTATTAATTTGTTTTTCAGAGTACTACGTTGAAGCCGTATCTGACAGCAATACGTCATACACTGACGGCCGCTTTGTGCATTGAAAACTTTTCTTCTCAGGTGGTCGAAAGACATAATAAACCTGAAGTTGAAGTGAGGTATGTTTTTCTCTCATCATTGAGTAAATCAAAGTTATATAATGCTCAGCTGTAAATCCCTAATATCACGTAACTTGGTGGGATACTTTTTCATTAAAGACGGTCATGACAGAAGAATAAATCGGTACAACTGCAAAGTAGGTTGCTGAAATTTTCTTTCGTCTAGGTTATTCCAGCATTCCCATATTTTCAGTACTTTTGTCTTAAGGAGGCAGTTGTATAAGGAACGATTCATTTCCAAGCACAGATTTCTTTCCATATCGTTTATGCATATTATATGCATGGGTGTGAGACAATGCTGGGTGACTGACCTAAGCAATAAACCAAACTGTAAGAATGCTACAAAATGTTCGGTGGAAGTGGCTCGAACTTTGTATCATGTTTTCATTTTGAACAATAAGTGACATTGTTATTTGTAATTCTGGATGTTCTTTTCATTATTTCGACTGTATTTATAATTTTACTTCAGGAACAAGTAGCACATTGTTTCAGGTCGAGCAAAGAACTCCTTCTTACTCCGGTCACCATTAGCAGGAATGAAAAGGAACGAGTCTTGATTGAACCCTCCGTTAACTCGGTGCGTGTCAGCATAGCGATCAAACAGGTGAGACAGGGGCGGAGTTCACTTGTCGTTTAATTACAAGACCTTTTGATTTTAACATTTTGCATGATGTAAAAAGCTGGTTCTTTAAAAATAGCACTTGTTTTCATCTAGAATGAGGTCTAAGCAGAGTATCACCGTATTCGTGTTTTAAAGGGCTAAAAAAATGGTTGAAGTATTGTTTTTCATCGTTACAGAGTAAAAGAAATTTGAGCGAAAGAATTAGTTGATCTGCTTTAAACGAAGCTTCAGATTTATGCCGTTTCCGTCTGTTTATTTCTGCCCATGAAATACTAAGTTTGGTAGTTTACTGTCTTGCGGATGCAGATCGCTCATTTCATAATTTGTGCAAAGGAGAACAAGAAAGTGCAGTAAAGACCGAACAAAAGCGTCCAAAAGATCTTAGCACCGGTTTTAAATTGAAGTTTCTACATCGCTGGATGGATATTTTCCATTTATTGTTTAAAATGTTTAGCAATGACCATGCAATCGGCGTTAAATAGTAGGATAAATAATGAATGATGTTAAATAACAAGATCACTTAAGGAATAACTGTTCTGTTCCGTGAACAGGTGAGCTTAGTAGATGCAGAGATTAACAAAATGGGGGTTAGCATCAACCGTTTACTCCCGCACTTGAGCTTCTCTCGTAGCAGCCGAAACACGCAGACGCAGGTCCATCATGCAACCTGGCGGAACAAGGTAGAGGCAGATTTTCTGTTGGAGAGAGTTTGTTCCTTTTATGATGCTTTAACCTGTGCCTTGTAGTAATGGCTCTTGATCGCAGTCTCTTTGGAAATAAATAAACGACTTACTGAATTGTTTCTTGTTGCTGAAATGTTTATTAGACTGCTTTCGGCAAGGTATGAAAAAATTGGACCTACTTTTTCAGTTTTAAATCGACCCAGTTGTAAATTTTGCTGATAATTTTATGAAAACTAATTTTGACTTCATTTAGATGGATGAAGTGGAAAAGATTTTGTGCCATAACTTCATGCGTTTTATGACCTTAAGAGCCGAACATTTCATAATTCTCCGGCGTAAACCTCTAGTGGTAAGTATATTCTCAGTCTGATTTAAGTATTGCAACGTCGTTTAATCGATTGTAAACAAAAGAATTTATATAGCTAATGTACGGAGAGTTGTTGCTTGTGTTTCTGTATATGTTAGTGCAAGGCATAGTTCCACCAACAACAAACTTTTCTTAGTCAGTGGTTTAGCCGCTGATTTATTTTGATTAACATTTTTTAGGGTTACGACATTTCATTCCTAATTACGAACACTCACGCGGAGCAGATGCTAAAGCACAAACTAGTCGATTTTGTAATATATTTCATGGAGGAAATCGACAAAGAAATATCAGAGATGAAGTTGGTGCTTCGAGCCAGAGCCAGAATCTGTGCTGACGAATTCCTTAAACGAGTAAGAACTGTCTTTCGCATGTCATGCTTTTTAACACAGTTTTGATTTAGTTCTGAAGGCTGCCAGTTCTTTCGTTTCGCCAGTATTCTCAGTGGAAGATAAATAATGTATAGTACAAAATCGCGGTGATGTGATAAGTGCAAACTTTGAACGCGATTCAGATAATCAACCATTTGACTTGCAAAATTAATTTTCCAGTTGTGCTTTCATATAAGTAAAGCTACGTATTAAAGCAAGATGCTGAATGTCAATAACACTTCTTTTTCATCATCCGGCTTTCCAAGCTGGAAATCTGTGTTTTCTTCACTTGTGCTAATATTCTTCTGCGTATAACAGAGCATTTGCCGTCAGTGAAAATCTACAACTAAACAATTTTGGGTTTGACGCTCGATTGATCAAGATTCTGTTCATTCGTTGTCGCCATACGTAGCACAAAAAGAAATCGCTTATGTTATGATGTAATGCAATAGATTAATCGAACTGATACATCGGTATTTTTCTGTATGTTGCACTCTTTTTTTGATATTATGTCGTTGATCAGTGTAAACCGCAGCTGTTCTTTTCTACACAGCGATTATGAACTAATCAACCTGTTATATTTCATATTAGTTAGCAACAGTTCTTTTTTGGTTGTAATATTTTTTGAATGAGACGGTTATACGTATTTATGTTCGCTTTATTCAGTCTAGTTTGAGGAAAGAGCGAAATATAATAAGTAAAATGCGCTATATGAAGTTTGGCTGCCCTCGGAAAAATGTGAAATTAACTTGCTTGGTCCGTTGCCGTTGTGAACTCCGCCACTACCGGTTCCAAGCCCGGATGATAAAGGAGAAGAGTTGGAGATCGTGACGAGGTCTTCCGTAGAACTTTTTAATATGCCCCTAATGGTATACGGGATAATGTTTATCGAAGACCGAAGAATTGGAATAACCAACGGCGTTCTTCGTGAGTTCGTGAGGTAGCCGGAGCAAGGCAGAGCTGAGTGTTAAGACTAAGCTCTCTGTGCTCAAGCCGATCTACATTC